AAACAAGAAAGAAGAAAAAGAATCACATAAACGAATCTTGCTAATTAGAGAGAGAGAGAGAGAGAGAGAGAGAGAGAGAGAGAGAAGTGATAAGAGAGACAAGAGAGAAAGAGAGAAAGAGACAAGAGAGAAAGAGAAGAGAGAGAGAGAAAGAGAGAGAGAGAGAGAGAGAGAGAGAAACGGACACCTGGATAAAAAAAAATATTCACACACTCATACACAGACTTCGATATCGCACTTTTGAATATGTGAGATAACTCATTTGTATCCAAATATCAGGACTGATATGTGAAATAAGGTAAAAAACGGAAATAAACTAGGGAAAAATAGATGAATAAATTAAAAGCTAATGCCACGAGGATATAGACTGGTGGATTTTTGTTTTAAATATTTAATGAGTCATACAACTCCTTTTTTCAAATTTTCGAAAAAATATATATCTTTTCTACTCTTGTTATTGTGATTATCATCATCATTATATTAATTATTATTGATGGTGTTGTTGCTGTTATCATTATTAATATTATCATTATGATTACTAATTTCTGGAATATATTTCTTTTGATTATTTTAGGAACTTGATTATTATCATTATTATCATCATCATCAATCATCATCATTATTGTTATTATTATTATTATTACTATTATTATTATCATTATAATCATTATTGCTATTATCATTATCATAATTATCACTATAATCATTACTAGTATCGTCATCATTATTATCATCGTTATCATTATCATAAACTATTATCATCATTATTTAACTCTTTCTTTATTTTCTCTCTAGCTTTCTTTTTCTTAAAAATGGAAAAAATACAGTTCTGAGGATATTAATAATAAAAAAAACAATAACAATAACAGCAATGATGCTAATTGTGATAACGACAATCACAATAATGACAGTGATGTTGATGATGATAATAATAATAATAGTTATAATAATAGTTATAATAATAGTAATAATTATAATAATGGTAATAACAACAACAATGGTAATGACAGTGATGATAGCAATAGTAGTAGCAATAGTAATGATGATGATGATAATAATAATAAAAATGATAATAATAATAATAACACCAATAAAAAATATGATAACAACAATAACAATAATGATAATAATAATAATAATAAAAAAAAACAATAATAACAATAACGATAATGATAACGATGATGATAATGATAATCATAACAAAACAATTAGAATAGCAACAATAAATTTAATGACAATGATATTAACGAAAACACGAATAATGTTTACAGTAATGACAATAATAATAGTGAAAATATTAATCATAATGATGATAATAATAATAATAATAATGATAACAACAACAACAATAATAAAAGTAATAATAATAATAACCATCATCATCAAGGTCATGACAATAATGATAATAAAAACACTGATTAAGGTAATGGAAATTATAAGAAAACAACAACAACAGCGAAGATGACGATGGCGCTAACGACAGTGATGATGATGATAATAGAAAAATAATAATGATAATAGTATAAGCACCCTCTATCCTTTCAGCCTTCTATCTATCACTTTTTCTATATATATTGTATATATATACATATATGTATGTATGTATGCATGTATCTATATATCTGTATATACATATATACATATATTGTACTTATGTATAAAGATTATAAGAATTATGTTGAAAGTTTGTGCACATCTTGCAGATAGTTGGCAGAGAAAGAAGGTTAAGAAAAGTTTGCGTCTATGTTGTTTTAATATTTAGAAGGTTTCCTCTGACGTCACATTCCTAAAAAAAGGACATAAATGATCTACTGATACAGTTTGGAGGGGGGGAGGGAGAGGAAGACAGCACTGACATTAAAAAACATTTTTCAAAAATAATTTCGTATGTTTATAAAGCATCGATGGTGTGTATAGTGATGGTTTCACGATATCTATTGTTGTGCATAACTGTGCGTATTTGGTGTGCGTATGAGCCGTATGAGTGTCCTTTTGGTTCGCCTCCACCGTTCGGATGGCAGTTTCGACTCCACCAAAGCCCCATATCGACCATCGTCGGTGGTTGCCATTCTATGGTTTACCACTCTACTCCGAGCTCCGGAACTGAACACATTCCTCCATTTGAATCGAGCATATTGTTAGATGGTTGCAGCCCGCTCACCAGTGGCTACCCCGGGCTTTTGCTTGGCTACCCTCCCCCGGGTGAATGACAGTCTTAGCCTGGCCACCTCAATCCCTCGTTCCGCGTGCCTAACAATCACGAGTGTTTAGTTGTATATCTATATGTGTAAAATGATGTATATTCTGATGAATAATAACTATGAACGTGCAATATTGTGTTTAATATGCCCCGAGATAATCTATTTTTTCCAGAGGATACCATTAAAAGAACCGAGGGTTAATGCAAATAAGATCAGAAAAAAACAGACGATGTCCTTTCTCTTTTTATATCAACCAAATCATACATGTCATTGTAAGACGTTATAAAACATGTATTTTTAAACAATGACTTCATCTACAACACGAAAACGACTTCAGAAATGTTGCTTTGCGATCCCTAGCCTATTAACCATTGTTCATCTCTGAAGAAGTTTTAGGAAATTTCTAGTTAAATGTCCATAGATAAACGAAATGAAAAGAAAACAGTGAGTTAATACATAAAAGGATGAATAAATAAATAAATAAGAATATGAAGGGGAAAGTAAGCCCAAGGTTTAAATAGATTTTGTAAATGATAGAATAAGAAGAATATTTCAAGTTCATATCGTGTACGCGTATATCTATCTGTATAGGTATGTAGACATACACGTGTATGTATGTGTGTACAAAGAGACAGAGAGAGAGAGATGGAGAGACAAGTAGCAATATAAACAGAAAGAAAGGTAGAGAAAAAGTTATTCCTTTATTTGCTTCATAAATATTCAATTTTACGTTTATTTCTGTTCCTGCCTCATCTCTTTCTCCCTTCCTTATCTCGCTGCCTTGCTATCTATCTCTTGAATTCCATTATCTGCTTTGTGTCTCTTTTTCTACTTGCCCCCCCCTTCTTTCTTTCTTTTTTCTCTCTCTCTTTTATTTCTCCTTTTCCCTTTTCTTTCTCCCTCCCTCCCTCTCTCTCTCTCCTTCTTTCCCTCCCTCCCTCTATCCCTCTTTCTCCCTCCCTCCCTCTCTCTCTCACCCTCCCCCATTCTCTCTCACCGCTCTCTCTCTTTCTCCCTCCCTCTCTCTCTCTCTCTCCGAAGCTACTGTCAGTTTCGTTCAGGAAAAAAAAAAAAAAAAACACAAGGCGAAGAGACAGGTTTATGGTATCTTATGAGAATCGGAAATTCTTTGTTAATCTTTCCTCTTGCTATCTCGATGATACATTTTTCATGTTACCCTTATCTGTCTTATCTGTTTTGTCCCTTCCTTCCCTCTCTCTATCCCCCTCCCACCTTTCTCGTTTATTCTCTTTCTCCCTCCCTCCCTGTGTCTACCCTCCTCTCTTTCTATCTCTCTTACTCCTCCCCCCTTTCTCCCTTCCTACTTCTTTCCTTTTCTCTCCCTCTCTCTCTGTCTCTACCTCCCTCCCCCTCATTTTTCTCTTCCTCCCTCCCTATTTTCTTGTTCATACGTGATGACAAGGATATAAAAGGGTAACAGTGATCATATTTAGGATTTGCAATGCTATCAGGTTTCAGAGCTACGCATTATACGTTCCATGTGAGTACAGAGAGCTAGATCGTTGTTACTATTAATTTCTCCATGAACAGAGTCTTGGAGGGGGGTGGGGGGAGGCAACTGCACACACGCAGGAAAGGAGACAAACTCACTGTTCGTAGGCGTATCCGTTGATGAAGAGGCTGGGCAGCACCAGGAACGTCACCGAGAGACCGCACCACCAGCTCTCCCCCGACGAACAGAACTCCGCCGTAACAACCACGTCCGTCAGCTGATCCGTCACGTACATGATCAGATACCAAGTGCATGGCAGGAAGAGGGTGAGCATGCGCCACGCCATGACCATGTCTCTGACCCTTGCCTCGCTGTAGCGGAAGAGTTCGGCGTCTCGGGTCTGAGTCGAAGCGTCGAAGCCCCACGAACTTGTCTCGATCACCACGTAGTCGGAAACAGCTGATCCTGACGAAGTGTTGAGTTTGGGGGCCGTGTTATTCGCCCTCAGGATCTTCCAGGAGCTCAGGATCGTCGGGGTGTTGTCGGTTTGGGTTCCCACTGTAGGAGGAGGACGTGGGTCTTCCTCTTCGTCGTGAGAGCCGGTTCCTCCGACGTCGAGGCACAGGTCGGGTTCGAACCCTGCGTTGATCATTCTTCTGGGGAATCTTCTCTCCTGCGACTCTTAGAAGTTATTTTCTCGATCCTTGAAACGTTTAAATTAATTCCTATATTCTTTAACGTTTAATTTTCTCTCTCGATCCTGTAAACGTTTAGGTTACTTCTTCGATGTACTTTGTAGATGCTCTTGTATTCCTCAAAGTCATCCTGAGGTATTAAACAAGCATATCATTATTTTCTGTTATTTATTGTCTTACCCAAGAATGCGTTCCATTATGAAATTCCTATGTGAGTTTTGTCAACTACTGACACCTTATCACGAACATAACAAGGACACCAATTTCATGTAGGCCTACTGAATATTTTCCAAACATTCTCAAGCTTTTACTACTTACGCTGGACTCATATTACCTAAGGAACCACTTCACCTCAGTAATATGATTTTCTCGAAAACTGTAAAACCATACAAAGTTAACTACACGTGCACAAAATCAGATAGCAAAATTTAGAGAAACAAACAAAAAAACAACAACAAAAAACCCACTGTATAAACACCTATTCATTTCTTCACACACTTTATGACACTTATATAGCTCAATTACTTACTTCCCAAATATCACTCGACCACTTTTAACACATTTTTTTTTTCTCTCGCTAACAATGTATTAATTACGTTCCTCGACACCCTTGGCAAACACTCCTTAACGAAGCAAAGCAGAATCGCTGAT